TTACAGTATTTACTGAACAATCGTTTTTTTTTTTTTTTTCCTTTTATGATAAATATGTTTGGGGGCCATTTTTATGCACATTAAGACTATTATCTTTTCTGCAATTTGAAATGCACGGTTTCTTTTTTTATTAATATGAAGAATTTTGAGGAATAAGATTATTTTCAAGTAATTAATAAAAATAAAACATTCAACCAATTGAATCTAAATACTAAGATTTAAGGACAAACTCCTTGTTCTAATGAACTTATTCTTTTAAATGCACAGTTTATTATGGGTTGGCTCCAAAATTTGAATTCCAATAAGTAAACATTTACTTCAACCAGTAAGCCAAGATTTCAATGAACAATCATGCACCATGATACCAATAAAGAGTTGAATCAAGTGGTAAGTGATTTGTTCCAACTTAAGTAAGATCTTGAATTTGAGATTTTGTGTACGCAGCAACCTTCACTGGAAGACTCACCCACCATTTTCAGGTGCGCAACATGAATCAGATTCGAATTAATCGTGGCGAAACTCCGGATACCAAACAGAAAACCAAAAAAAAAAAAAATCATGCACCATGATGTTTACTTTTCTTTATTGCTTTTGGGCTGCCTGTTGTCGGCAGTTGCGTGTGATATTTAATTCCTTTATCATATTTGTGGAGATGGCTCAGTACAATTCCAAGTCATTTTTTCATTTGATGTACATCATGTACTTGACTATCGTAACATTCGGGGAAGCACGGGGCGTGCCTTTTTCACTGTATGGAGTCTTGGTCTTTTCATTAAGATAAAAAATTAATGACATTATGAGATTTCCTAATGTCATCGAATCCTCACCAACAAAGAATGACCAATAATTACTCTCTGCTATATAGTGACTTACCAAGAAATAATTAGTCCATACATTTAAATAATTAGTCTATCAAGGTGATGGATAATATGATGCGCCAAAGTTGAATAATATATATTTATATTCAATAAACAAAAAAATATTTTTTAATGTGAATTATATATTAAAAGTATAATTTATTTTATAAATTTATTTAAAAACCTTTAATAAAATTATTTCTTGTGTTATTTCACTAAAGATAATTTAAATAAATTTATAGAGTAAACTACATTTTTAATGTACAATCTAACATGAAAAACTTGAATCCCTGCAATAAAACTCATCAACAATTCTACTTTTATCATTTGTTATTTCAAACAATGATAATGGTAATAACAAAACACATAAACAACATTTGCACCCAAAGAACAGAAGGCCTAAAATCAGAAGGCATCAAGAAGCAGTAGTATATGCACTAATGTTGGGCACAAAGACAAATAACCGAACTTTATGATGTTTTAAGGACATTCCTAGAAGACCGGCGGGTATAATATCTTAATTGACATTACCAAATTGGTGAAAGAATTTTACGGGAAAATGAGGAAAATTACTTCTTCAAGCTATTGAACTGATATTGTTGGCCACCGAGAGACGAGAAGAAATCATCTCCACCACCTGGTTCTGAGGATGGAAAACCGGTTCTACCAAGACCAGATCCTGTACCCATTGCCCTCCCCATGTAAAATGAAGTTGGTCCTTTCTCCCTTTCATCTGTTTCACTCAATCCACCCACGATGCCAACATCTGCAAGATTTACCTTCTTGGCTGGAAGGTCCAAATAGCAATGCAATGGTGTCAGAACTCGATGTAACATTTTAGTATTATGGTTCAGAAAATGTGACACCATATTATGTGCAAATGGATTTGCTACAAAGAAGGAATAAATGACTTCTAAGAGATACTCACGAGCAGCTATATTAAGATCAATCAGTCCACGGCTAAGTGTATCAGCCCAAATTCCAGATTTCACCTGAAAAGAATCCTTCCTTTGAGGAGGTTTAGGGTCTTCCAGAGATTTTGCAGTCAAGTTGTTAAGATTGTTTTCATTGGCAGGATTCTGTGCTGGTTCTGTTGACACTGTATCAGAATGGGAAGTGAATGAACCAAACATATCAGTTCCATCAAAATTATTCAGTGGAACAGCTGCAAATGGATCAACAATGCTAGCAATTGTCTGATTAGGTTTTGGAGCCTTAGTTTCCGGTTGCACAACTGGATCAGGGGCAGCAAAAAAGTCAACTGTTGAAGAGGCTGCAGAAGTCATGGTAGGCTGTGAAGCAAATAGATCCACCTCTTTCTGCTGAAATGTAAAATGAAAGAAAAAATATAAAAAAATAGTGAAATAATCTGTTTTGCAATACTAATAGACAAAGAATAAGCTCCATATGCCCTTTTTTCCTTTTTTTGTGCATAAGCCCCAAACCCTTGAGAGATTATATGGCAAAAATCAAATTCCACCTAGAGATGTACACTTGCAAATTACTATTATCTTTAGGATTGACAGATTAATGCAATTGAATACATTCAGGCTCAAATTGGAATTATACAAAAACCAGCAAATTCAAACATTATTTCACACTTTTTAAAGTGACATTAACATATATCAGTTCATTTCTAGAAACCAAGATTATTATTATTATTATTATTATTATTAAAAAAAAGAAGGAAAAAATAATCACCTGTGTCTGAGAAGTTGCTATACTTTCTGCTTGAGCTGATGCTGAGACAAAAGTTGCATCAGCAAATAAATCAACATCTGAGGAATTGCTACTGATGGCAGGCTTTTCTGTCGGAACAGATGATGGTTCATCAAAATCAATCAAACTTTGTCCAAACAGATCCACTTGGTTAGAACTTCCAGAAGCCACCTCTGTAAAATATATTAACCAAAAAATTCACTTGGTAAAACACGACCCTAGATCCTAAATGATATTTATGAGAAAGGAACACTTGGTCAATAATCAATATCCTCGTACAATGTACACCAAGAAGCATTGAAGAATTTCTACCAAAACTTGAATTTTTTTACTTACTCAAGACAATCTGCATTCATAAAAATCATCACCCACCCAAGCATGGTCTTTGCCAAAAAGAATTTTAGAGTCTGGAATCAAGATCTTTAGGACTTCTTCCATTTAGGATGTGCGTTAAGAAAACTTCTATATGATCAAAGATACCTAAATTATCTACTTCAAAAAAAAAGAAAAAAAAAAAGATCTGAGATCTTAATTTCCCCCCTCATTTCTTAAACTATCTAGTGGACAAACTATAACACCCTATAAGCTGCCAAGGCCTAAGAAGTTTCCCTCCCTTATTCTATCTCATTACAATTTAAACATATGTTCAAAAAATGAAACTGACACCTGATTTCTGCAAGATGAGGGAAGAACTGTTTTTAATCTATAACAACAATAAAACATCTCAGTTGCTAGCTTTTTATGGTTGAAAAATGCTTCAATTAACAGTGACATAGAAACTCCAAAGACCAAGCAAACTTGTGGATGTTCACTTCACATCTCCAAAAAGGCACTGCAAGCACCGCTCTCTTGCTCATGTATGACAGTTAAAATTTTCAATATGCAAACCAAAATGTTTTGAAATGTAATCATATTCTATCCTCTTACTAGTACTGGATGTTCCCCTGGGATCAAAATCATCAAAATCATCATCACAATCATTTGAAGGAGAGTTTGTGCTTTGACTGTATTTATTCGACATGCTAGACTTCGATGAGAATTTATGATCTTGATCCTTGCTGCAAAACAGAAATTACGCAATTAAAAACATTGCTAACAAAACAATGGGGGGAAGTGAGGAAAGAATGAAAGAAAGAACAAAAACATTTTACATATCAAATATTAATCTGCGTACGTGCATGGAGTATCAGAATGGCTAATGCAATACATAGTTGGTAATGCCTGAGTGGGCTTAACTATGTAATTGATATACTTTAGTTCTCAACCAAAAAGATATAAATTACTAATGCATTAACAGTAACAAGATGAACATGACCTGTAAAAGATTGATTCATTGGAATCTCAAGACAAGGTAAAGGTTAGCTATTAACTTAAGATAAACAGCTTCTAAGACAAATTATGTTTTATGTCCATATGTATTAATTAAGGATTAGAAACCTATTAACAGCAGACAAAACCAGACCTGCCATAGCGTGTGTAGTCTTTCTTTGAGGTGCTCCTTTGGCCCTCATTCAAAGCTGATCGACGTGACTTTCCATAGGTATCTGTATCAGTCTTTTCTTCACTATACCAGTCCCTTTCTTTGCTACTGTCCTGGAAACTGTCACCATCTCTACTACCACTCAGGCCTCCATACCTATCACCACTAAAGCCCCCACTACTGAATGTGGGTGCACCAGACTTGTATGTTATTCCACTTGATGAAAGGCCAAAGTACCTAGAAACATCGGCAGTTATACAGCTCAGTCAATAACAATGTTACAGTTAACCATATAATTTCAGTTCCTGAAGAATACACTTACTTGTCACGGTTTGCAGAAGCTTTATTTCTAGCTTCTTGTATTTTATCTTTATTATTCAAAAGATTTACTATATTTTCTGCTTTCTTCCGCACGTTAATTCCCATATCTTTCCCACTTGGCTCAACATATTCAAAACTTGTCAGTGACTTCAACAATGCAAAACAAGGAGGGGAAACAAGCTATTAGAGAAGTTTCCAACTTTAATCTGAAATCAGTTGTGAATGAATTTCAGAGCAGAGAGAATATGAAAGAATAGGCCTTACAGAGATCTGGAAAGTATGTTCTATTATATCATCAACCGCACGCTCAGAGCCATGAGAAATTAAATACTCTATAACAGCCAATGCCTGATGCAGAATGGTTTCAGTTATTCAAGGTGTGAAATTAAACCAACAATATCTAGAAAATCAAATGAAAGTTTCAACTTGTATTCAATGACTTCCAGGGTAGGTAATGGAAGATCTACAATACCTTATACACATAGCGCCAGTCTTTTCCTGTCTCCCCTAATCTTGTCCACAGAACATTCATAACCATCTGACATTCAGAACTAGAAGATATTGCAAAATGTAAGAAAGAGAGAAACCTTTCTTCAAACCAAAGCTATGGAAGAAAACATAGAGATAGGATAAGAGATGGAAGAGGAAGTTAATATTACAATTTTTTAGTTGCCTGTGCAATTTCTGCTAATGCAGTGCCGTGAGGGCCCCAAGGTTCATCATCTGTTGCATCAAGCACCTGCATATAAAATACCAACATAATCACATAACTAAAATGATTCTGAAGTAGAAACCTTAAAATGTGATTAAATATCATTCATCATAGATAGCCCCATCATGCTACCAACAAAGTCCTAAGCAAGTCACTAAAGGAAAAATAAATAGATAAATAAACAGAAAGAGAGAGATAAGCCATGACAATGCTTCTGCAATACATACCAAAGCTGGCAGCTATCAACTACAACAAAAAGGTAAGTCAATCAGTACTTTTTCTAATCACAGCTTCTTCTTGAACAGTAGATCACTTCTGTTTAATTTTCAGGCGTTACCTTTTAACATCAAAGTGGGAATTTATAATCTAATTCCTTTACAACATACAATCAGCAAATCAGCTTCTATAAAATTCCACACTATCACTCTTATAGCCTAGACAAACAGAACTGAGTACTATATCAAAGCTAGAATCTCTCTTTAAGCGGAAACCCACTTCATTCCGTTACATCCTAAGGCAAACACCAGATCGTAAAAGTACATCACAACATTTTAAGAGCATGCAGAGAGCATAATTTATTCCACACTGAAGTTCAAAATCCGAGCAAAATCTCTAGTAAAAAGCAATGCATGCTAAGCAGAATCATGATAATCAGGTCCAAACCAAACACCACACTATCAAATGCAATCGATTCACTTGAATGTCATGAGGAATCAACAATCGGTTTACTATCGTGAAAAAGCAAAACACGAAATCTCACCTTCTGTTCCATCTCCGGAACCTTTAACACCTTTAGATTCACCTCCCTCTTTCTGAGATCAAAGCGGAAGAAACAAATAATAATAATAATAATAATAATAATAATAATAATAATAATAATAATAATAATAAATCAAATTATCCTTGCTACGAGGAGCTACAATTGAATATTCGAATGAAAATGAACATAATGAAGTTGAAGGTCTCACATCTCGCGGACAGTCTGATCGAAAACCTTCATGAAATCCATGGCCGATCTGCAAATTCAAGATGACAACAGGGGAGCGAAACTGTGGGATCGAATCCGCGATATCACGAGCAGATCTGGAGGTATTATGAGGAAGAAATTCAGATCTCGTGTTTGGCCTTCAGGGTAGAGAGAGTTTTAATACGACATTCGTTAGTGGCTTTAATATGATGATGAAGTTGAGTAACAAAAAAACCAATATCGTCCCCTTTTTCGAGATTTATTTATTTTTTAATCGTTTCTGTGATCTTTTGATTTTCACTATTTTTTCCGTTTTTCTAATTTTGTTTTTTTTTGCTGGATTTTGTAGTTAATTTGTTAGGGTACAAGTAGTGCTTTTTAGCTGTTTTTTGGTTTTTTTTTTTGGCCATTTGAGATGAGGTTAAAAAAAAAATCAACATGGGTTAGTATTAAAAATATTAAAATGTTTAATAATAATTAAAATATTTTTAATTTATCATTTATATTATTTATTATATTATTGTAATTGAATCTTACTATCATTTTTAGTAGGAATAATTATTAAAAAAGGTTTTTTCATAAAAATAATGATAGAATAGGGCGGGTTGGAAATTTATTTTCAAAAAAGGTGTATTAAAAGATTAAATTATCCCAAATTAGTTCCTTGTACTTCCAAATTTGCCCATCTCCCCTAGTCAAATTTAACAATATAAGCCATTCCTTCTAAAACAAAAAAATCCAATTCGATAAAACAGAAGATTGCAGCTTAAGACAAACCCAATTTTCCATCATTAACCCACCTTGCATTAACCTTAAAGCCTTTAAAATATCCCAATTTTCCATCCTAGACTCTCCAGGAAATCGATGTACTATATGAATTCTAGTTTCTCATTCCCTACCCAATCACATTGCTTTGGTTTACTGGATTTGTTGAAATTTTTCTAGAAGCTTGCTTTGGCACCACCATAATTGGGCTTAAAGCTTTGTCGGGTACAAGTTCTCTGCTCCCATGAGTCTCCATCTCTCTGGCCCTGGAATGTTTCTGTTTCAAGGTGTTTTTTTCCATTTGAATAAAAATAATAAAATAATAAATTTGGATATAAGTAGACGAATTCAAGGAATTTCACATGAATTGGGATTTTTCAAAAGGCATGTTGAAAATTTGGAAAAGTAAGATTCAAAGCTAAATAGTAATTTAGTAATAGAAATGAGAAGGGCATGCTTGGAATGATTCCTTTTTAATATTAGAACTGACTTGGTTTTCAATTAGATAATATTGTTTCCGTTTTCAAATTTACCAAAATTATATGAAATTGAGAAAAAAAAATTTTTTTTACTGGACCTTCAATTTACTTTCAGAACCCTCAAATCCTTTTCACCAAATAAAAGTTCTCTCTTTCTTGTGTCCTCAATGTTGTTTTGGAAAATTTTTCTTGGACCTGCTGAATAGCTTCTTAAAAGCAGAATGTGATTTTCCAAACACTATCGTCAATCATGTTTGGAGGGATTCTCGGAATATCTAAGCAGCAAACGGAGAATCTTACAACTTTGGACAAGTTAACTAGGTATGATTTTTTTTTTTTTTTTGCTCATTATTTCATTTAGGATTTTGATCAAGAATGGAGGTCTCTCTGGTGGTATACATTGATAGAAAATCTATTAATCAGTTTTCATCTTCTGCGGAATTAGTACTTATCGTAAACATAACCAAAGTATTCAAAGTTCACTTGATTGGTGTTGGTGTTGAGAGAGATAAACCAGAGTGTTTATTTGGGAGGATTGTGTTGATTATCTCTTTTTTGTTTTGCATTTACTCATAATTTAGTTATATTTGCTAATATTTGTTTTTTAAATTGCAGGTCCTTAAAATGTTAGAAAAAGAAGGAGAAGGTCCTATTGTCCAAGGATGAAGCAAAGGTTAAAAGGGCTGAGGAATTTATTCAACCAAGAAAGAGAGCAGCTAAAATTGTGACAAACATATTCAATTGAAAAAGAATCATTAAGGGTGTTTTCCATCAACATGAGATTAGCTTGCCATTGCATCTCATTCAAATTTTCAGCTCCATACTCTGTTGTTCTGACCTGTTAATTTATTGGTTGAAACTATGATAAGTTTCTGGATGTTCTATATGTAATAGTTTTCTTGCATGACATGTTTTGTGAAAAAATCCAAGTTGGTTATTGGCCCTTATGGACATGATATTTGTTAGATGAAATTCCACTGCAATAGTATCTTTGAAGAGGAAATGTCTTGAGCAACTATGCAGCGGCTATGAAATGTCCTTAAAAAGAAGATGTGGGAACAGCAAGTTGAGGTGCTCGGAAATTACCAGTTATGCATTCATGTGCAGGTACTCCTCGGGTGATTTCATGACAGCTGCAAGGATTGATTTAGAGAAGATGTTGGCTCACATTTTATATCTTTTTGGATTTGACATATCAGATGATAATGCTAGAAAGCGCAGAAGCAACAACAGAAACTCTTGATGTATTAAGAACTGGAGCTGCAATGAAGTCATAAACAAAGCAATGTAAGTTACATCTCAAATTATGAACATTCTAAGTCGGGTTATTTAGAATGAACTGTCTTTTGGGATTTTGATTGTACAGTTTTATAGGGACATCAATAAAATAGACAAGACAATGGATGAAATTCAACAGCAATCTGAGAACGTTGGAGAGATCCAAGAGGCATTGTCAGCATCAAATTGGAGCAGTAACTGATCTTGATGAGGTACTGTTGTTTCAAGTTCTTACTTCAAATTCACATTTTCAATTGAAAATGTTAGATTAGCTCATTGACTGCCACTGGTAAAGGATGAATTGGAAGCTGAAATTGAAGAACCATAAGAATCCAATTTAGCTTCTCCAGCCCACCATGACTGCCCCAGAGCAAGGCAACCAACTCATGCTGTTCCTCCCCAAAGAAACACAACTGAAGAAGATGAACTTGCTGCTTTACAATCAGAGATGACACTCTAAGAGGTAATGTTGACTCGAACGAAAATCGAGATCTTAGAATTAAAGACTGACATTAAAGAACATACGCATGCATTGCAGAAGTTACTGAACAACTTGTGGCCATAATAAACTGTTTATGAATTGTAGTCAAATGTTTAAGAGAACAAGTAACCCCAACGGATTTGAGATTCTCCTGTCAAGTGGCAATATATGTAATTAAGGGCGGGGACCATTGCGCTGGTCCATGAACAACTATACATAAACAAAATTTTGCATTTTCTAAGATACAATTTTCCTGAGACAAAATTTACATTTGAATAAGAATTAGGTTCTTACTTCACATTGTTTATTGTCCAGATGAATTTAACAATATTATCTTTTAATGGGCTAGAATATCAGTATTATGAGGAAAACTACTGAGAAAGATTGCCAATATATTGAAGAACACTTGTATGAAGTTCACAGGTAATGCCATAATTGCCATATCTAGAGACGAAACCAAGATAAGGGTTTAGGGTAGGACCTGAGCGCAGTATCAAACAATTTTCTCATGCTTCAACCCTTTTTTCTAATTTTTTGAGGCTCACCCTGATTCTATCGCTTTCAAATATTTATCAAAGATAAAATGGGAATCATGGACTATGAACAGTATTATCTATATAAATACGTATTCTTCTTATCAGATATTGGACTTTAT